ATGTCCATCTTGTTTTAGCTTGAGTTTACCCTCTGGTTCGTATTTTAAACTCAACACAAACCTTGATGGAGGGCTGGCTGTGAAGTTAATGAATAATCAAACATGGTACTTTTCAAAAGGGACATTAATAAAAAATGAGTTGGAGGCATTGCCAAGACATGCGCTTTTGTTCTGGCTGGAAGTGGACATCTTTCCAATCCTGGAACCAAGTATTTCCTTATCCAAGAGTAATCTGCCTTTGGTGACCCCCCCTCACTCCCCCACTCCCAGTCTGAACAGCCAGTAAACAGTGTGTGATTGTTTGGGGCCAGTCTCCCAGATTTACAAGGCCCTTGCATTAATAGTGCTATCGCTAATGTTCATGCTACCGTCAGTCTGAGGACAGTCCTGCAGCCTGTGAGTCCAGTATAGGAGGGGAGCAGGTCATGCCTGTGTGTGTGTGTGTGTGTGTGTGTGTGTGTGTGTGTGTGTGTGTGTGTGTGTGTGTGTGTGTGTGTGTGTGTGTGTGTGTGTGTGAGTGAATGAGCTTGTGCTCACAGTAGTGGGTGAAGGCTGTGTTACAGAGGGCCACTGTGTCCCCGGGCAACAAAAATCTGGGCCAGTGTGTGTGCGGCCCATTGGAGGGGAGTAGTAGCCTGTCCACACACTCCACCTCCAGGCATGTCAGACATTATTGACTCGTCCACACACTCCGTACAGACATGCCTGCTTCATTTGTGCATGTATGGGCCTGTTTGATAAATGTGCCCTTGTTTCTCTTTTTCCTCAGGGCTGTGGGAAAGACCTGTCTGCTGATCAGCTACACCACCAATGCCTTTCCTGGTGAATACATCCCCACTGTGTGAGTGAGCAGCAAACACTTCCATTAGAGGAAGAAAAAAAACAACTTGTGCTGATGACACAGTTTACCCTGACTGTTAGGGATGATGGTGCTACGAAATAATGAGCAGAATACTAATTAGTAAACCTTCTCTGTTAAGCATGGTATGTAGAATATACAAAAGAAAGTCCATCCTCTGGCATGATAAGCACAAATTCTTCATTTCTTGACCAGAAACATAGAGACATGCAGTGAAACCAAAGCAGTGAGTGGAAACCTGTGAAGAACAACCGTAGATCTTTAATGAAGGTCGCATCAATAATGTAATAAAGTATTTATTGATTGGAACCTTTGTACATAAAATAAATGTGTTTAATTGCATTCAAATTTGTATTGCCTTAAAATCAATTAAATTAATTAATTACATTGATTTTTGCATTGGTCTTATTTAACATGTAACACATAGATCAAAAAGTGAATCGTGAAGAGCAAAAAAAACACGTGTAAGTCGCATCACAATTTATGGAAAGAGTTTGATCTTTCTAGAACTGTAGTAGAGGCTGTTTCTAAAGGGTATTTCTCCAGAGCCACGTCTGGACATCCTCTGATCTCATCCTGAGGTTTCATCTGTTTTTGCTGCCATCCAATCTTTTATCAGGACTCAGATCAGCTGGGAGTTTGTACAGTTCATGCTTGTTTTTCCTAACTGTGTGATCTCCTGTCTGTTCCAGCTTTGACAACTACTCTGCCAATGTAATGGTGGATGGGAAGCCAGTGAATCTGGGCCTCTGGGACACGGCAGGACAGGAGGACTATGATAGATTAAGACCATTGTCTTACCCACAGACGGTACTCCGACTCCTTCCTCCCAAAATCACTTCCTCTCTCTCTCACTGTCATGTAGGAACAACATTACGGACAAATGTACATATAGGATCATATAACCAAGTGAAAAATTAGAACACCGCATTCCAGGCTGCATAAGAAAAGTTCATTTCTGTTGCATTTTAAAGGAAACTTGTTCTGATGTTTGCCTACACAAAACTGATCAGTATATCTGTGGAGTTTAGACAGATGCAGTTCTCCATTTAAGCCAGTAGGTGGGGAGTTCCTCCATAGAAACTCAAATAAATTACTGACTATATCAAAATGAATTCATAATACATTTACTGTTACCTAATGAACAGTAAATGTTCATTATGTAAATATTTTAAGCAACTTAAAAACATTTACTTAGCTTAATTTTTGTCTTCTACTCAATTTCCCAACAAACCTGCCAACATCTGGTTTTCTCATTTCCTTATAATGCTGATATTCTGTCATCTATTTTTAAACTTGAAAAACAAATGTTTCCACATCCATTTTGGACTCTTTTCCCGCCACCGACCAGACTCTGCCAAAAAACCAGCGTCACAAAATGATTCAGATGAATATCGAATTCACTGCAAAGGACTAAAATCAGCACATTTAAGAAACTAACATGCAGGAAAAATATGGAAAGCAATAATGTTTTTAGCTTTAATGGGGTGTTTGTGTGGAAAAAAGCTTTCAGTTGGTTTATCAATAAGACAATAGTGTTAAATTGACAGACAGAAAGTCACTCCAGGAAGTGTTTGTTTATATGTAACAGAACACTTTAATAAGTCTTTTATTAATTTTTATGACTGTTTGTTCTTTTAAAAAATTATATAAAATTTTCACATATCCAAATACGTTAGAAAAACACGTCTGACCGTCTGGTATAGGAAATGTAAATGAAAGTAAAACAGGAATTAAACAACTTCCTGTAGATCACAGAATCTAAAGGCTCAGGGCTGTGGGAAAGACCTGTTATATTATTCATATTATTTGATTATTGGTCTATAGATAGTGATCCAGAAATTAATTGATCCAGTTATTCTATAAATAAACTCAAACCTTTTCGTGGCCACACTCACAGAGACATACAGATTTCCTGTCAACCAGCGATTTCTCTGATTCTCTCCCAGGATGTGTTCTTGATATGCTTCTCCCTGGTCAGTCCGGCCTCCTTTGAGAACGTCCGAGCTAAGGTCAGTACGCTGACCGCCCCCTTCCATTACCCTGCCCGAGTCCAGTCTGACCACTAGGAGGCACATCTATAGCGCCCCCTGGCATTAGAGACCACCACAGCAGCCGCTCAGTCCTCGGCTTGGAATGGTCAGCAGTTGAGCTGACTCCGTCTGAAGCCGGAGCAGAGAGCCGTTCCAAAGCGAGGCCTGAAGCAGGGCTGCCACCTGCAGAGGGAGAGGCGGCCGCTGAGGTTTGGCGTGCTGAGCGTAAAGAGACGCTCTCATGTGAAATCACATCTTGAAGCAGGTCCACCTCCCTCTGCAGAACTTCCTCATCATGTCATTTAAACTTGTTCAACCTTCAAATTATTTGTAGATAATTTATGAAAAACATTTTTTATATATTTGCTGAAGCTGTCACTATATCGGTGCAACATGAGTCAGGTAATCTGTGAAAAAAATTGTCATCACATGGTGACAGTTTCAACCAATATGTAAAAAACATATTTTTGAAGTTCCACAGTGCAACTTTTAACTTTTGACTCTTCATGTTGCTCGTCTTTGTGGAGAAGCGTCCTCTGCATCCAGCTAACGCTTCCGTTTCTTGTCTCCACTGACATTGTCTCTCTGTAAATTCCTGTGTGCGCCCCCGGTGCTGTAGTGGTACCCAGAGGTGAGACACCACTGCCCCAACACACCCATCATCTTGGTGGGGACGAAGTTGGACCTTCGAGATGACAAGGACACCATCGAAAGGCTGCGGGACAAGAAGCTGTCTCCCATTACCTATCCTCAGGGTCTGGCTATGGCGAGGGAGATTGGTGAGCGCACAGCTCAGACAAAACACATTTGTTAGCACTCCTTTAAGAGTAATCCAGCTAGAATGGAGAATATGAACTCCAAGTCAAGTTTGGAAATTTAGGTCGTTTATGATGCAGGGTTTATGTTTCTTTACATATGATGTAGTGGCCACTGTGGTGGTTTGGACTTAAAGGGACAGTATCATGGAAAATCGACTCTTTTTAGCTGCAATACTATTTCCTCATCAAAAAAATACCTGGAGTATTGCTTTGATTCTTTCATACATCTTTGGGAAAAAATCCTTCAATACCCATGGCAACCATTCAGCTGTCCAAAACGCGTGGATGGACCAAGCTCCGCCTCTGATGTGCAGCGCCTTCTTGAAGACGCAGTTTCCAGGCTTCTGCCTCACAGAGCAGCCCTCCACATCACTCCCCACTCAGCTCCTTCAAACTAGCCAGCAGCACTTAGCAAACACCTTGTGCAACTGCACATCTGCTGAGCTCATTATAGAAGCTACTTCTCAGTGCAGTGCTGGTTAAAACATTGTTAAGGGTTAATAGAGGAGCCATGTTGTGATGACTTCCTGAAGGTGGAGTGTCAAAAAGAGCAGAAGTTTTTAAAGAAAGAGAGGTCCAATTTCAAGTTGTGAAATTACATGGTCAACTTTATTTTAAGTTATGTTCAATATATATAGCATTTTTATAGCAACTGAAGGTAAGTAAATGATTCTGCTACAAAAAGGTGCTATATGGATGGAAAACGATGAGTAATAGGGTTAATAGAGGAGCCATGTTGTCATTTTTTAAAGAGCAGATGGTTTTAAACTTCAAGGAATTTTTTTTACTAAGAAGTAGAATGTCTTTTAAATCATATTTGATATGCATACTGCATTTTCATAATAATGGAAGGTTGCATAGTCACTTGATTGTGCTATAAAATGGCACAATGAGCCTTGAAAACACATATTACTGCCCCTTTAAATGACTGGATTGGATTATTTTTGCTCTCTTCATTATCATGATTCCTGTGCAGTTTGAGATGAAAAGTGTTTTCATCTCTTATTGCACAGATTTCTTTTTCTTTTTTCTTGTTTCTTATGTCTTTATTTAAATTCTTTCCTTTTTTACTTCAGCAAAACTTACCAAAATAAGCATTAAAAAAATCTGATCAATTTATTATAGTTTAATGAATGTCAGCTGACCAGTCCACCTGCATTTAATCTTTAGTTGATTATATCCATGTCATCTATGAGCTATCTACAGCAAAAACAAAAAATAAATATGATAGTGAGTTAGAATGTCTATTTTTACACACCCTCACTATATTTGCAGCATGCCAATTATTCATTTATCTATTTTCCCTATATATTTATTTATTTAATTTTGTCTGAAATGGCTCTCCATATGTAAGTGGGTGGATATGGGAAAGGCTGCTGCAGTAGTGCAGCAGCCTAATATGTGATTTTAATAATTAGTCAATCTAATTAAAGCTAAAAGGTGCTTCAGCTTTTCTGCAGGACAGATTTTGATCAATCTGCAGTCAAACAGTTGGGTTCAAATGCATATGTGGATACACTCCAAAAGCAGGAAGCGGACTGCCGCGCAGGGCATTCTGGGTAAATACAACCAACACAAACATGCAAGGACAAAATGGCTTGTTTTTTGTTTACATTTTGGTGAAGAAGAAAATTGTGCTCAGCCTTTACTTCAGAGGTTTTTGTGTTGTGTTTCATGGTGCGGCGCCCCCACAGGAGAGGGTGGGGGTTGCAGGTTGCTCAGAGGATCTCATTTGTTAGACTCAGTGTCATGACGTGAACTGGAGCAGCTGAAAATGTAACAAACGCTGCAACTTTGGTCCTCGGTCGAATGGAGTCTATCAGACTATCAGGTGTGAAAACACCGTTATGTTCTTCTCAAATACTCTGTCTGTAAACATGTAGAGTACATGTTGGGCATCCTCCTGTTGGAACTGGGACGTTCACCCTTCTCTCCCACCTTCCTGGTCCTCAGGGGCTGTGAAGTACCTGGAGTGCTCCGCACTGACCCAGCGAGGCCTGAAGACAGTATTTGACGAGGCCATCCGAGCCGTGCTCTGCCCTCCACCAGTGAAGAAGAGAGGGAAGAGATGCACCATGTTCTGAGGAAGAGGCACTGCTACAAACACCACATCATCATGAACAACACACACACTTTCTTTGAGAGAATGAGAGCTAAAACTGGTGAGAGTGAGTGTGCAGTTCAGTGATTGCTTTCTGTAGTATTTTTTTTTCTTTTTCAGAACCATATTAGTTAGATGACCAACATTCTTTTTTTTTTTACCATTCCTGAATAAGATGGTAGGTTCCCTGTGAATGGCACTGACTGTCCGTCTCCGTTGTACTGTTGCCAGGAGGACTGCAGCTTTCCACAACTGTCTTTCTACTGCTCTTCTCTCTCAGCCATGCTTGCTTAAATTAACACAGTGGTCATTACACAGAACGTCAGGTGTTGATAGGTTCAGGGTTGAAGTTATCCTCTGCTCCCTCTCTAAGATCAGCTCATTCAGCTCTGGAAACATTCTGGCTGCTAAAGCTGCATTCCAGTTACCTGGGAAGTCAGAACTCAGAGCTGGGTTTGACATCAGACCCAGCTCTGAGCATGAACATGGCAAGCTCATAAACATTGTTCACAGTATCTCATACAAACATCATTTTAAGGAATGGAATATTGAATATTGATTTTTTTCTTCCATATGTGTCTTGCAAAATAAGCATTTTTCCACCACAGCTTACTACTGTTGATGCGAGGAGCGACCACACTGAAGCGTGAATGTGGGAGTTGCTCCACTTTCCCTTTGGGAAATCTGACTTTGGTTGGCATTCCAGTTGAAGTTTCAGGAAATCAGAATTTCCCAGTTCCAAGTACAACTGGAACGCAGCGTGTCAGAGCTATCATTTTCTGAGCTGCACTTTGAGATAATAAACATGTCTAGCTGTGTGAAACATCCTGGTCAGACCACCTGAGAATGAACGCTGAGTTCAGGTCTGCAGCTCACACTAATGTGGTTGCTTATGGTCAAAACAGAAAGCACAGCTTATGTTTTAGGCCTAAAGGAAGTATGTAAAATATTTTAACACAGCTGTATCATGTGATCTGAGGCTTTTTTAAAAAAGATGCCTGTTTGTCAATTTTTACAGAAAAGGTGCAAGCTGTCAGAGTAACTGGTTATACCAGCTGATGGATTATTTATCCATGAGAATTTAGCTCAGCTGTAACTTCTCGCCTGCCTTCCTTTATTTACATCTGTACACAAACAATGTGAAATCATAATTTCATAGCAGCTTTTTCATTTTCAAAGGAAATTCTTTAAGCTTGAAACACGAGTCGACTTCCTGGTTTCCTGGATCTGGGATTTGGGCTGAGAGCTCATCTGGTGCCAGTGAGGCTCATGCTGGTCAACACTCAGTTCTGGCAAGCGGCTGATCTTAGACAAGAATCAGTGGGAAACTTCAACTACAGTCAGGAAATCAGAGCTGCTTTGTAGGTTTGCTTTCGAAAAATGAAAAGTCTCTAATTTTTGTTGTAATTTAACACAGAGACAAAATGTCCGCAAAAGATCCAGAAAACAAAATGCAATTTTGATTCAAACTTTCTTCAGAAGTATTTGATCAAAACCTGCTGTGATGTTGGTGGGAGAGGCTGTTTGGAAGCACAGCGGTCTGACGGACCATCAGCAGGTCAGACAGGTCTGAGTAAGGATCTCAACAAAACCTTCAGCAGATCTGAGCTCTGGAAACCATTGCCATGGTGATGTGTTCCAGTCCATGCTTACTGGTCGTGGTTCAGTTTTCAGCCCCTTACATTCATCCTGCACCGAGGGCTGACTGTCGTCTGATAGAATATCCAGAACCGCACAGCACTCTGGGAGATGTAGGCAGGGGGGAAGGCTTTCGCTGCTCAACCTCTCACATTAGTGACATCAACCAACGCACTTAGTCTTTGGTTACCAAGCAACAACCTGTTGAGTAACTTGTGTAGCAGCTGTTTCAGGTTTTGCCACCGTTCCTCATAACTGCTAAAAGCTAAAAACAATAACATGGAGTGAAAACTGGATAAAACAGGGAATTCATGCCACTGATTTGGTCGTACTTCAGATATTTAAAACAAAAAGCGCTTCAATAATTATTGATATCCACTGATATAAAACTCTTACATTGTGACAGGTTCTGTTGCCGTATCGTTCGGCCCTCCCGGCTCCCAGCAGGTCCAGTTGATGCCGTACAGCTTGGCTTTAGTCTCAATATCTCCTCAACACATAACACCTGCAGAATGAAGAAGCTGGTCATGTGCCTTCTCCATGGGGAGCTGAACTTTGACCTTCACTTAGTCAGTGTAGAGATTCCATTCTGCTGTGGTTCAGTTGCTCCTGGCTTCTCGTTTGTCAGAGGTGAGACCCTTCATGGATCTGCTCCTGAACACACTGCATGCTCATTAACCAAACTTCAGACTGAAGTTCTTGTCCCCTGATGACCCTCTGAGTGGGCTGCTGTCAGAAGCTGATTCTGAAGACAAAAAAGCACCTGGGTAGTATCTGCTATTGATGATTGATTAACTGATTGTAATCTGTGTGCCTTGTGGTTGCCCAAACTCCATCCGCTTTGCAGGGGATCAAATACTTCAGTGTTTCTGGGTCTATTCTGTGTCTGACTGTTAAATGAATCTACCGCAGCATCACACACAGTGTGGTCCTCAGTAAGAAGGTAAACCTACAGAAACAGCAGAGCTTTCCTTTATTTCCTGCTCTGGAGCCGTGGACGTGTGTCAGACTAGCATGCCAAACATGGAGCTGTCCAACCTTGCTGCCTGAGATCTGCCTTCAGAAAGGGAGGAGCTTGCATGATCTTAATATGCTCTGTCTTCATGATCCCACTGATTAGATCTACTCTCTGTTCGTGTGCGTGTGAGTGAGTTTGTCACAGGCATGTAAATAGACGCTGGTATTTGTGTGTGAACAGGCTCGTGTCGGTAGCAGTGACACGGTGTTGATCGGGGTGGCGACTAAAGATAACATTGTTTTAAGCCAAGTTTTTTAGTGTCCAGTTTTTGGTACAATTTCATATTGTGGTAATACACAGGAGTTTTCGAAAAGTGTGTGCACATTAAGGCAGAAAAAAAAGGGGTTTTAATGACATCTAGTGATGTACAGAATGCACAACGCATTAGGAATATCTGTATGTACCTAAATATGTACCTTCCTAAAATTTAAACAGTTAACTTTAAAGGAATTCTAGTTGCTCATGTTGAATTTACAAGTGTTGCTAACAGTGTATAGTATAAAGGGGCCAATCTTTGTGCAGTTTGTCATTGCAGCAAACAGTGCGGATTGCACCTTTATGAGCAGATTTTTCTCTCTGGTTGCAGGGCTGCTGGGTGGGGGGGGGCAGCCTCCCTCACCCTGCAGGGCTGCCTCTCATGCTGTGTGGTTGAATCATGTCATATGGTCCTGCCTAGCTAAGGTGTCAATATGTAGCTGAGAAACACAGCAAAAGAAAAAAAAACTGTAATACTATTATTGCATGGAAGTTTTCTGGTTGTTTGGCCCACTGTAAATCTTCTGAGAGCTTGTACGATGAAATGCATCGGCCATGTACGTATGTAATGTAAGATGACTTGTATACTTGTTTCAGCTGTTTGTCTTCTTTTTTATTAATTCACATGTTGGTGTGGTTAAAAAAACTCATTTTTGTATACTAAATACAAATGTATACGTAAAGAACACAGCTTGCTGTCGTGATTTGACATGATATGCAGAGGAATCAGTGTCATCTGTTTGATACGCTGCGGTGTTTCAATCTTTGCTGGAAAGCTTTTTAAAATGTATGAAATCATTTTTTCTTCAGTCTGACATAAACTCAGAACATTTCCTGTTTGAGCTCAGTTAGCTGAAATATTTCTGTTTGCTAATTGCCAGAATAATGAGATGTCTGAATTAATCAACTAATCTAGTAACCAGTAATGACTGGAGTACACAAACTCTAAAATAAGCTGCTGAAAGAACAAAACAAAAAAAGTCGCTCCATGTTAACAGATCAGTCCTCCACTGTATTAATGTTCAGTCCATCAGGAATGTTGAGCTTTTCATGTTGGTAAGATTTAGCTGCAGATTCATCATTTGCTACAAATGATCCAGCGCTCACTGAAAACAGTAAACAAGCATTTTTAGGCAGTAAAATATTTTAATGTGGTAAAATGAATTAACTAGTTTATTTGAAATTTTAAGTATTTGCTATATTAACATTTACCATTGTAATAGATAGACTTAGATGATGAAAAATCTGCAGAATGTGTCATTTTTTTATCCAATTACTTTATTCAGAATCAAATATTTCTATCTTTATCTTTTTTAGAATAATCATATTTTAACTGAGGGCTAATAGAAAAGATCCCTTTAATCAATCCGGATGATATCATGTTTTTTATTCCCATGAGATCTACATCAACACCTTGGATGTAATTTTTGGATGTTCAAAACCACACAAAGTAAAAAACCTGATTCAACAACAACAAACCCGTTTATTTTGGACCATCTGAATGTTTGGCTAAAACCCTGAGCTGTCAGCACGTCTGCCTCTGGTCAGCTGGAACTCATGGTGAAGGTCAGCAGGCCAGGTGGCCCCCGTCCACCGGCAGGGCGACTCCGTTAACCATGCTGCTCTTCTCACTCAGCAGGAACAAGATGCTGTTCACCACATCCTCCTCCTCTGCGCACACACACACACGGATGTACACACTTCAGTTTTGAGCAAGCTTCTACAATCTGCATTCATTTAATCTATTCATATTGTTTCAATGCTAAATTTTGTTGAAAGTAAGAAATGACTGAATGAGTTGGGTCTGTGGTTGATGGTGGCTGGTGGGATGAAGATGAGTTCAATACACCTGAAACCTCATAGTTATTAACTATAAAAAGTTAAGTGACCTTTTTCTTCACAACTTCTAAGTTAAATGCAGGCCATCCTCAAGCACTCTGCCTTCTCATGTGACATGAAAAAAAAACATCAAGACGAGAACTGTGGAACTTGACTGGTTCTTTGTTCCAGTATAAATAGGTTCCAGTCTGAAATGTGTGAATTATTCCCAGAATAAAAGCTAAAACCTGCCAGGATGCTGGTGAAGGAGCAGAGTGAGTCCTGAGAGGCCACTAAAGAGGACGATACATTTACTCCAAAACAAACATAAAATGTCATATTACAGTTCAGAAATACACTCAAGAACAAAATGTTTAATGCTAAGAGACCTATGTGCTGATGGAACTGAATCTTAAAAGTGTGGTTATAATTATTGTTGAATTTGGAGGAAAGTTGAAACCTGAGAATTTTCTGCAATAAAACAATAAAAGTTCTTTTATTTGGTAAATCAAAGCTGCTGGCAGAATGCAGCAGATCATTGAAATCATCTGGTTGTGTGTCCATTAGATGATCTTTATTCAGATTCCACTCTAGGTTTCATCATCTGATGCTCATTAGTAAAATTAAGGATTATTTTTAAATGACTCATCTTTTCAAATCGACTTTTAATACCAGAGAACATAACTATTAGGCCAGTTCTTGTTTGTTTTATAAAAATATCTGGTTTCAGCTGTCAGTCAAACTGTTGCAGGTGATTTCTGTGTGGATACTGCAGAGGTTCACTGACTCATTTACAGATCTAATCTCTCATTTACTCAGATATAATCATTGGATTTTCTAAAGTTACTTTTTTTGTGAAAATTATAAAAATGTTAAAGAAATGTTAAAGAAATCAGAAATCAAGAATTTGCAGTGAAAGGATGAAAATGACTCAATTATAAACTGTCAGGATGAAAGCAAGTCTCACTCTGGTCAAGTTTCAGATAAAAGTATTGGTAAAATCTCTGAAAGCTGCTTGTTTAAGAGCACAGATTACCAAACAGCACTGTGAGCATACAAGGTCGTGACCTTTGTATCTGACCTGCGAAGCGGCCCAGGGGGATGCGGGACTTCATGTTCCGGGCTTTTTCCGGGTCACTCCAGCCCAAGCGACCCATCTTTGTCATAACAACTGTAGGGTTGACGCTGTTCACACGGATCTGATCAGACCAAAAAAAAAAAAAAGCATGTTTCTGATTCAGCACAGAGAGCAGCATCACAGTGTGTGTGGAGAACACACACACACACACACACACACACACACACACACACACACACACACACACACACTGACAGGACTTTCTGTTGCTAAGTCACTGATGTCTTGGTTTTACAGATGAAGCTGTCAGTTAAAAGTTTCTGAGTGAAGCAGTACCTGATGGGGTCCGAGCTCTAGAGCCATCACTTTGGTCAGCATGTCCAGGGCCCCTTTAGTTGCACCTGAGCAAAGCAGAACGACACACAGCAATGCTCACTGGAAGTGATTACTAGAACGTTGAAGTTAGAATACTGTGAAAAAGTGCAATATTTCTGGCCAGTCATCTCAGAAAGGGAAACTCATTATGTATTATCATCACATATAATGTACAGTGATATTTCCAATATATGCAAGTTCAGTGTCTCTTAGACCATCAGAATTGTGTGAAAAATGTTATTATTGGAAACTCCTGGTTTTAGCCCCAGTCAGCTGATTAACTAAAACACCTGCAGAGCCTCCAAGGTCACTCTGGGTCAGCGGGACACAATTATGGTGAGGTTTGGGGTATCATGTTTTACTGGTTCTGGTCCACTGGGTTTGTGTCGACTAGGAGAATCTAGAGCTCTTCATGCTTCCTCTGCTGACCAGCTGGATGAGGATGAACTACAAACTCCCCTGACCTTTAACCCCTTTGAACATCTCTGGGTTGTTTTGAAGAGGAAGATAAGAGACAACAGACTCAACAAGGCAGTTGAGCAGAAGGCACCTATCAAACCAACCATCACACCTACATAGAATCATCACCTGGTCACCTCCATGCCACGGTGCATTGATGCAGTAATTCATGGAAATGGAGCCCTGACCAAGAATTGCGTGGACAGAAACATGCATACCTTTCAAAGTCCTAATATTTGTGCTTAAAGCATCTGTTTCTGATAGGTTTAATCCGATTTTTAGCCTTCTGAGACACTGATATTTTTTTTCCTTTTCTTCACCCATGAGCCACAATTATTAAAACTGCAAAGGACAAAAGCTAGAAATATTTCAATCTGTGGGCAATGAATTTCTCAAAAAGTACAGAAATATTGCACTTTATTTTAAGCAATATTTCATTTATTTTGTTTGTTTCTCAAAAAGTGGTGAAGGACAAGACAGTGACTGTCAAGCTTTCTGTCCCTCACAGTAAACAGCATGATCCCTGAGGGCGCGCTGAGACGCCTGGCTGGACACGTTGACGATGGAGCCGCCCGACCCTCTGGCCTTCATCCCAATAGCCACCATCTACACACAAACAAAACAGATAGCTCCAGTTGTTTACAGTGAGAGGATTGCATGGCCCATCTAACTATATGTGTGTATATGTGTGTGTATGTGTGAATGCTTAACTCTGTATGACAGAGTTAAGCATTCACAACCATCAGCAGTTTTGTGTTTTGCTGCATGCATAAAGTCCACCTCACAGTACTAGTGGCAGATGTTTTAGGGTCATTCTGAGGAAATCACGCGTGAGGAAGAATAAGAACAAAGTGTTTTGATAAATTCAATCAATTAATTTCATGTAGATGCACACTGCAGCTGAATAAGCAGATCTCACTTTAGGGCTGTTTTACCTGAGACACGTGCAGCACAGCTTTCACATTCACGTTAAACAATCTGAAAAACAACAACAGTTGGTTGGAACCAATAACTCAGTTCTTGTCCTCTTTCTTCAGCCTGATTTGTATCTAGGAGAATAAACTGGTGTCTTTCTGGCCTCACAGGTCAAACTGGTCAGGCGTGACCTCCAAGAATGGCTGCAGTACAGCGCAGCCGGCATTGTTCACCAGCAGATCGATGGGTCCGACGTCCTTCAGGGCAGCCTCGGTGGCGGCCCAGTCCGCCAGGTCCACACACACTGGGACAATGGCTGGACACTGGAGGAGGGACAAGGAGGAGGTCAGAGTATTTACTTTCAAGGTGAAGACAGAGACAGAATGAACAAGAAGTCTGCAAAGGCGACAGAGAGCCAAACTGTGAGGGAGTTTGTATCAAATAAAACAGGGATGGGGTGATGTGTGTGTGGGGGTCACCAGAAGGCGGTCACCTCTTGCACTAAACTGTTGAGGTCAGCCTGTGTCCGTGTGACTGCAGTGACCCGCGCCCCGCAGCGTGCCAAAGCCAGAGCCGTGGCCCTGCCGATACCTGAAACACAAAATATACATCATCATCCAGACTGAAGCTGCCGGTACACACAAATCCATAAACACACACACACACACACACACACACACACACACCCACACACACACACACACACACACACACACACCATTTTCCTGACACATACTACATTGTGGGGACCCACTGCTAAAACTGTTACTGGGTTAGGGGTTTGATTTAGGACTAACATGTGAATTGAATTCAGGTTAGGGTTTGGATAAGGGAAAAGTTTAGGCTGTAGAAATGAATGGAAGTCAATGGAAAGTCCCCACAAAGAAAGCCATGCAAGCGTTTGTGCTCCCACAAGGTATTACAAACAAACATTCAATTTATAAATACTTTATTTATCCCACAGAGAAATTAAACATTGCTGTAACTCATATTAATTTAAATTTGTCAAAGAGTTATTGTACATCCTGATAGATGTGGGCAGAAAGAATCTCCTGTAGCTGCCTGTGTGCAGCGAATTTGAAGAAGCCTCTGACTGAAGGTCCATGACAGCCTCATAAAGAGGAGGTAAGGGATGTCCATCATTCTCTTGATTTTATGTCAGATCCGTCTTTGCATCATCATCTCCAGAGGTTCCATACACACAAATATTTTTCTAAATGTTTTTGGAAAAAAGTCTTTTTTTGAAGTGACAAAAATCTTCTTATCACTTCATTTTTAACAATACTGAACACCAACTTATTATAAAAACAGTGAGGAAACTAGATCAGTGGTAGTAACTTAATGCCCACCAGAGTTTGATGATTGGATTGATTTTAGAACATGGAGAACTGAAGCATCTCTGACTATAGATTCCCAGTGAGGCACCGTTTGCCTCATGGATTCATTTCATTTCTACACCAAATAGTTACAAAGTAAAACAGGATTTTTTTTTTGTGTGTGTGAAATAAACTAAATGTGACAGGTATACAACTATACAGTCTTTGTGATGACATGAACCTGATCTTCTTTCTGATGTTTCTAAACGTGAATTCATTAAACTGAACACTGACTGGAAATGCCTCCCACTTGTTTCTATAAGTTCAGAGAGAAGCCAAGTGATGAAGTCAGCAGGAAATCTGAACATGTTCCAATTTGACTTTCAAAAAGTGGAAACAGATCATACTGTGGAGGTTCAGGTCATCCAGTCCAGAACTGACCTATGACGTCACGCTGTGCAGGAATCTCTTCTGGTCTGAGATGAGGATCTCTTCATGATCTGTTTCACTAAATTCATTTAATCATCTTTCTTTAGAGAATATTCCAGTCAGGCATTGACTTGTGAATGAAGCGGTAAAGTAGAACTGAAACTGTTAGACATAAAGTTATTAAAATCACTGGAATGAGAGATAAACACAACCGATCCCACCTTTCCCTGCTCCTGTCACCAGCGCCTGTTTGCCTGCAAATGAGATCTCCATGTTGAGAGGTTCGGTTCGGTTCAGCTCGGTTCGGTTCGGTTTGCCTGCGATCAGCTGCAAATAGACAACACACAGGAGCTTGCGTCACTTTTCCGGTGGATCTGCCTCAGTTCCAGTTCCGTCCTTCATGTGACTGGTACCGTGAGGAGAACTCAGCTTTTGTAGGCAGATCCGGGTTCAGAACCCGACCTGAAAGTCCGGGAGGAAAGTCCAGTTTCACTTCCAGGTCAGAGCTGCTGATTACATGACCGACCAACGAAACGCTCAACATTTTTATCCCAAAGCTTCTGATTGGACAGGAAGATCATCCAATAAATAAACCAAAAAAAAACTTGTATGTCATCTGCCATTATGACGTAGCAATCTCTGAATAATGAGGATTAAGTTTTGTGATTTTTGCAACCAAAGCTTTCAAATCAACACACACACACACACAACTTTGTTACAGTATGTCATAACCTGACCACAGTCCACTACTCACTCTGGGAGTCTGGGATGTTTTAACGCCTGCGTCCAGCCGTTCTGCCTCAGAGGTTGAGAACTATGATTATTGATATTTTTTGTCTTGTTTGCATTGAAAAGTCACGTGCTCCAGCTGAACACTTTCAGCTCTCTCAAAGATCGACTCCTGTTTGCTGCCTTGAGTTTTCTGGCCTGATGTTTTTGAAGGTGTGTCTGGACTGACCCTCGTCATGAACTTCCAGGATTTTGTTGGAATGGCCCAACATCTGGTCCAGTGTGTTCTGATGGAGCCTCCTTGAGAATGATAGTTGATTTCAGAGCTTTTAATGCATCACTCATACGTCAAGCTCTCCAAACAATCATTAGCCAGAAATCTTCATATTTACAAACGAAATACTAAAATGTTTTTTGCAGAAGTCAGTCAACACACACATCTTCACTCTCCTGCTTCGATTCATCTAGTTTTAGAGTTTAACAGCAGGAAATGAGCGACCTTTTATGAACCCAGAGAAACAAAAACAGTCACTCAGTCTGAAACAGCCAGAAAGATGAAGGCTTTAATTTTCTCCTGCAGCATATAGGAACAAGAGTTTACAGAAACAGTCTGATCCACCGGCCCGCAGTGGGACGCATGCTTTTGGCTTCTATTCTTCCTGTGCAGAGGTAGCCTGTTGCTTCACACACACACACACACACCACACACCCACACACACACACACACACACACACACACACACACACACACACACACACACACACACACACACACACAGTGGGTTGTCCTCTGAGACACATGGCAGCATCAGGCTCAGAGTGAAAACAGAGTTAGAGCAGAAAAACTCCTAACCACCCATCTGCATTCAATCAGGTGAGATGAAAACCGACTTTACCACATAACCTCAGAATATGAAAACTAAAAACAAACAAAATAAAAGACAAGTACAGGTTAACAATCTGAGCCACATTCATTCTGATAGCATCAGGTCCTGATTTTACACCTTGGTTGTGAAAATATGTCCCGACTCTGTCCTATACACAAAAATACAAAATATAGTTCATTCAATTTGACATCAATACAATAATAAAATACTATATTCTACAATAGCTGATAATATAAAACATGTGACAAGAGAACAAAAGATGAAATAAACTAGAAAAAGATATTTGGCTGAATCTATAAAGACATTTCTCAGGTACAGACTGAAAGAGTGCAGGAAGATTTGATCATTTCCTTTCTGCTCCATTAACATCTGAGAAGCTATAACTCATTTATTACAAGAATCTTAAACAGTTCCTTCAACTTAATAAAACATTCAAACAAATGGTTAAAAACATCAGCCATTCATTAAACTGAAACATCTCCTCTTTATAAGGAACTGAAAATACTGAAAGGTGTTTCACATAACAGGAAAGGAGTCCAGATCAGGTTCCATCTTTAAACTGCTCTCTGTGTGTTTTCCCTGCAGATATCTCTCCTTGTCTAGAGAGGCATCTAAAGTTCAAAACAGAAAATGCTACAAGTGAAAGTCAGAGCAATAGCGAAAAACAATTATGATTACTTCTCCTGCCTGAGTTACTGAAGGTTTCAACAAGGTGGTTATTCTGTCATGTCTTCCATCAGGTCCATTAAAACATATCTGGTTCTGTGTTTCTTTTGGGTTTGCATCTTCATGTCCACACAGTAATTCTGAAGGCAAAATACTGTTCAGCACATTATTATTATCATTAGTAGTAGTAATAATATGGCCAAATAATGTGGTTGGTTAAACTCATCACATCAAATGATTTTAACCAAGTTCAACTCATTTTGATGGAACTTGTGTTAAAAGAAATGATGCAACAGGGAGATGAAGTTCTCAGGCCCAGATCTTTTATCGCCCTCATCTATGCGTTTCTTATCTTCTTGAGCTTCTGGACACAGTTTTGCTCGGTGCCATGTTGTTTCTCATTCTCCTGATATGTTTGGCCAGAGAGAGTTCCTGCATTTCCTGCAGCTTTTCCAGGCGCAACCAACAGGCTGCTGTGACAGCTGGATGTGGGATTAATCCAAATGTGATCAGGTGACATGTGAGGCTTTCATCTCTTTCTGCCATGTGCATAAGAGTAAAACATGAAACTCCTCTGTTAATTTCACCCTGAATAGTTTTCTTTATTGCTTTTATGCCTGTGCAATCAATGAACTGCTGGTGCAGGAGGGGGCGGGGCTTGATGATAATGGCTCATTCTTCCATCCAGCGCTGGCTGAAAGAACAGGTCTGGTTCTCAGAGTGGGAATGACAGTTTGGGTCAATAAACCAGAAGATAGAAAATTGAAGGGTGATTGTTGTTTTTTTCCAGGTGTGCCTAATGACTCACAATTTGCACATTTTCCATAACCTGAATTTTTTCATAACGTCTGTGAGCAAGGTGTGAAAGGTATGAGGATAATCAACAAGTATCCCCAGATTTTTTGGGTGTTTAGGTTCTCCGAGTTAACACTGCAGCTGGTTGAAGGGTTGCCTTGGCAACATACATCAGGTGATAATAATATTTAGTCAGAAAATCTCACTTAATTATGAAAAAAATGGCATAAAAATATGTACCTACCATAGTACCAGGGTGGACCCAAAAGAACAGCAGATAACTAACTGTCAACAAGCAGCAGAGAGGATTCCCCAGCCCCACCCAGACCAGGAGGAATACAGCATTTGGACCATGTCCTCACTGACATGACATCAGTCCAGGAACAGGAAAGTTGTTTTTGACATATTGAATTATTGCTGGAACACTTGGGCTGAGTGGTTTCCAGGATGTTCAGTTTGAGTGTCCAGGTTTCAACTTTGGACACCACTCAGTGTCTGGGTACAGGAGGCAGTGGACCGTCTTAAACCTGCAGGATGGACAGAGACACAAGTGTTGAGTTTTTTTCCACATTAAGAAGTCGAGCTTTAAATGTACTCAGCATGGAGTTGTGTCCAGTATTACCAGGAGTCAAGGTTTGTGCATCTCTCAACTCATGTTTTTTCAGGTGTTCTAAAAACAACTACTTTCTAAGTGAGTCAGTCAGTTTTTTCAAAAACAAAAACGTTGTGAGGGGTTAGCATGCAGGTTTGTGGTTGAATCTGACAAGTTCAAACTAAGACCTCAAAACAGTCCAAACTATAAAAGTACATTATCTTTTTTTTTCTTGAAAAATAAGGCTAAACGTTTTCCGTTTTCAGTCAGTATGGATTACTACTCAGGAGGTCTAAGGTTTGACCCCAGTGTAATGATGGTCTTTACCTTGGACTCTAATCAGTCTTTATTTTCTGCTTTTAATGGCTTCTTTTAGACTGAGGGGCTTTTCAGGCCTCAGCAGTGTTTTGTTCTGGTGTTGATTCCCTCCAGGACCCGTTCTGCTCTGAGACACGCCGACTGACGGAGGTTCATCCATCAGCCTGTTCCCAATATAGGCTGATGGATGCTTACCTCAAATCCGTAAGCATTTGAGGGGCTTACGGAACATTAAACTTGTTTAAAGGTGCATTAATCTTAGTGAATGGTAATATCTAAAGTTAATTAAACGATAAATACTCACTCTCAATATTCAAGCAAACAGAAATAATTTAGATCATTCTAAATGACTTAAAACAAAGTTTAATCTTATTTGATGTCAGGTTTTGTGTGGTGTAAATTCCTTCATTCAACTCCAGATCCAAAATGTCACATCAGTTTAAAGAAACATCACAGCATTATCCATCCATAGAACAATGTTTCTCTTTGTCCTGCGCTTATACAGTACTGTAGTGTACATTCACTACAATCAGTCTTGCTGACTTCAGTTTCTTTAAAAGTTGTAACTGAGAATCTTACCATTGTTGAAGATCTCCAAGATAAGGTTTGCTACTAGCTTTCGCTTAATCTAGGTGTTGAGGCCCAGCAGAAAACGGCTAAATGTCCCAACTTTAGCCATTGAAGAATATCAGACATGATCTACCATCCACACAGTGAGGAGGGCTCATGAAACACTCAGTTAGTTCAGAACTCTCCACAGGAGCTCAGGTTGTTTGGGTTCTGCTCACCTGGTGGGGTCTTCAGTGAGAGAAAAACCCCCAACGATGCTGACCACGTTTCTTCTGTTCTCAAAGCCTCCATAACTCAGAGTGACCTTGTGAAAGAGAAATAAGACAATGGAAGAAAAAACACTAAATCAGGAACACCCTGTTGGTACTTTTGTTTAGTCACACTTTATGCATTTTTATTAAATAAAAAGAAAAAAATACAAAATGATAATTATTAATATAAATAATTAGAAGTTTTTTGTTAGCTCCAAGCTCCTCCTTTGACCTGCAGTCTCCAGGGAGCTTATGCCTCACACCTTCCCCATTCAGCTCCTCTAGACTAGCAGCAGCAATTAGACAACACCTGGAAGAACTGTGCATCTATTGGGTTTACTAGACCAACCACAACACTCATAAGAACGGTTGTAAACAGCATCAATCGAGAAATATTGTTGTGACGAAGAGCTGAAGGCAGAGTGTTGGAAAGAATAGGAGCTTCTTAAAGAGACAGCGGCCCAGTTAAAGGTGTCACATACAGCTATGATAAAAATTCAAGTTTCTTTTAATATATGCAGCACTTTTATAACAACTGAAGGTTACATAGTGACTTGATTATACAATAAAATAATCACCACACATCTTTCTTCTTTTCACTTTCCTTTGAACCATCCACTTCTCTTATTCTCACTCATGCTCAGTTATTTACTACTGCTCCCCCAGTTCAGGCAGTTTTCTTCAGTGAGTTTTAGTTGAAGATTGTTTTTTTTTTGCCTTGCTTCAGCTGCTCATGTCCACCACTGGGCCCAAACTCCTGATGCCAGCTGGATAATTCCCAAAAATGCCACGAGTTGCTGCAATGTGATCAATTGAATTGCTCTATGTATTGTCCAACTGAAAAGTGTGCCTCATAAAGAGGCCAGAAAGCAAAATTCCAAAATGAATGAAATAGTAAGAGGTGCTTGCTAACTCACCTGGTGGAGCACGGTGGGAACGGGCAGCTTCTGCAGGTTCTCCAGGTGAGAGTGGAACAGGTGTGTGTGAGTGAGTGTGACCTCCAGCAGCGCTTCGATGATGTAGCCGATGGTGCAGTCGTCTGGGAGGCGGATCTTTTCTGCCGTGGTGATGAAGTTCCCCAAACTGAAACCACAAAATGTTTCAGCAGAACAACTCCGAAACAGCTGTTGTTTCCAAGACAACAGCTGTTTGACCTCCACACATGTTCCAGATGAATGTGTTTAATGACTGCTAATGTATCTGCAGCGATTTAGACACTAAAAAAAAAAAAAAAAAAAAAACATACAAGCCAGAAAAAGTGCATAAAGGCAGAACTGTTGTCAAGTTTTTGAAATACTCAGCAGGATTAGCTGATGTGGTCACAATGGGATTTCATAATCTGGTATTTCAGCCTGTTTGTTAAAGGACCAAACTGCCTGAAATGGATTCTGTGGTTTAACTGGACTTTGTGCAGCTCTGTCCAGAACTGCTCCAACACTCTGAACATTGTGACAACTCTGCGGTGTGAACCTTCATCCTTCTGAACATCTAGTCACAAATCATCTTAAATCCTCTCTCCAACCTGCTATCATTCAACCCACCACATCAGCGATGCAGCATCCTCTGCCCTCAGTCATCTGGGACCGAATGTCAGAATGTTCCTTATAGATTTTGATTAAACATTTAACCCATTCCTGCAGCAACAAATTCAGAAACCGAGGCAGCTTGGTTTCAACATCTGGATCTGGAATGGGCTCCTGGACCCCCGGCAGACAAATACCCACATGCAGAACATGGACCCTCAGGGATGGGAACTTGGCCCCTTTGTTAGCCCAGCTGGTAGTAAAGTCACAGAACTGGGTCTCATCCACCACAAGAACAGCATCTACTGGAGAGGAAGTGGGCCACAAGCTGAAACACTGGAGAGCTGAATGATTATGTAATATAAAACTTTCCACCAATCTGATGGCTGAGTAACTTAAATAACTGATTAAAAGCAGTAAATATATTTGTTGTTGAGTTCATGTGTCTATTTATTTAATAATCTAGGAGCAAAAATGGTTTTGAAGGAAAGTGTTTTTGCTTTTTTTTTTAAATCAATGTGTAGTTTGTAGGGATTCATTATTAATTAATTATTTTATGTCTGTGTTAGATAAACACTTCATATTCACACGATGTATGCATAAAAGAAAAAACTCAATAAAAAGACAGTGATAAAAAAAAAAATCAATGTGTAGTTTGATTAAAATGCGATTAATTGCAATCAATTAATCACAGACCTTGAAATTAATGCAATAAAATATTTTAAAACCTTCTAATCGAGTCCCACCGCTAGTCATTTTATCTTTTTTTGTCTAAAATGTCACTTCATTACAAACGTTGATAATCATCATTACATCTGCTTGTGTAGATTGTTCTATTCAGAAGAAATGAATGCAGTGTTTCTTTCTCCTGTCGTTCTGTTTCTGATGATGTTCTGTTTCTCTGACTGTTAGCCCACCTGGCCCAGGGGCTCATTTTCAGAGCCAGACCTCGACTGATGCAGAACCCTGCTCCCCCGGTGGCGAACCAGAACTTCACAGACACCTGAAATGAAGAAAATGGCAAATCAGCTGAATGCTACCAGGTCAAAAGAGAAACACACAAAAAGTCACGGCTTAAAACGCCGGCCGGTTCAAATCTGCTAACTTTAAACAGGTTTATACCTGTGATGCAGTGACAGGAGCAGGAAACTGAATAAGGTCTAAACAGACTGACCGTTCCATCGCTCTTCACCCTCTCTGCAGCCTCTACTGGGTGGTCCAGACTGGGCCGGCCCAGGTAGATGTCCTGGCTGTGATGGTATGAGGACAACAGTCGCAGCAGACTGGGCAGGATTACGTAGTTATCATCATCCACATGGCAGAACCACCTACAACACACAGAACATCAGCAAACACACATTGGTAAAAAAAAATCCTCACCATCATCAGCAACAGCTGGATGTTTGCTTCACTCTAAAACCCTTCAGACAGTCAGAGTCTAGTCCTGATGAGACTCATGTCTGAGATTAAAAGTTCAAAAAGAACTTTTAAGCAAGTATTAAACATACTTTTTATTAAATTGTAATTTCTGTGTTAAAAAAAATTATTGGCCTGATGCATCTTGCAGCACAGAGCCTGTCAGTTGTGAGCAGCAGGGAGGTACGTAAAAAAAGCAAGAAAGGACGAAAGAAAAAGACAGAAAGCAAAAAATAAAACATAAAAAGCGATAAAGAACAAAAGAGACAACGAAAGCCCAGAAATACACACATTTTTCTGTACATTTTGACACGTTGACAAACCAAACTCCAGACATTTTGCCTTCTGGTCGGAACCCTGACATCGTCTCTATGTTTCAGAACGTCTGACTCACTTCTTCTGGGACTCGATGAATTTATCGTACTCCACAGACATCTTGCAGCAAAGAGCCTGGCGGTTGTGAGCAGCAGAGCAGTTGGTGTTGATGATGTTAGTTCCTGAGGCAAAGACATCCCAGAATAAGGCGGCGTACAGACAGGCTGATGTGGTCAGAACAGCAACACTCTTCACTTCAGCTCCCTACCTGTCTTCAGCTGCAGCTCCCTGTCGTCACCATCAGTGAATATGTAGGTCTGCAACAGAGAGGGAACAAACACACTAACACCACCTGTTAAAGGGCCAATTAGATCATCTGCTGGCAATTATGAAATGATCAGAGCAAAACATTATGACCACCACAGGCTTCTCCGCATCTGCAGCCCTTTCACTTAGTGTGCAAACTTCACAAGCTGAGGCATGGAGCTGCTTGGATGCAACTAAGAGGCCACGAGATGTAAACATTTTGTGCATTACTCATTTTGACCCCAGTCTCTTGTATGCAGAGAATCTGATTCTGTTTTCCATATTCTAATAAGAACGAGAGATGAGTTGAGCATCTTGACACGATGAATTACAGACGACCCTGGATATGACCTTTCACCATGGTAAACAAGTATCTGTGTTGCACCAACGGCAAAAACATTGATGCTTATATATTTAGAGACAAATATTTTTTGACTAAAATAAAAAAAAAGATCTCAACGCAACGCTGAAGATAAAAGGGGAAAGATTCAAACTGTGGACCAGCATTTATGAGAGAAGTTAAGTTCAACCAGCTGTCGTGGAATCAGATGTTAATCATTTCTGTAATTGCTCCAATATGCGACCCTCTGCACATGGAGACTGCCATAAACAGCAGTGGAAAGACTTTAAATGAACTGTCAGTAACAAATCTTCTTTTTACTGTTGGCATGCAGACCCGGCTGCTCTCTGCTGGTGTGAGCAGTGTGTGTGTTTGGGTGTGTTCAGAACTTGGTGGGCCAAGGAGTCAGAGAACAAACATAGCAAACTGCTATAAATGCAGACTGCATGGAGTGCTGGCAATCACTCTTCCTAGCTCCACCTCCTTTGCTCTCTGCTACTACAATTTCTTTCATAGACGCATGAGGCGTTGCTTTTCGAGCTCTTCCTGCCTGCTTCATCTGGTCTGACATGAACCAGTTCTATTTCATCCTTACTGACCGCCAGAGGGTGGTGCTGAAAGCACTGAATGTTCTCTTTGCTCATGCACCGTTCGAGCAATAATACCAAAAGAGTCACACCTGTGACCTATCGGATGATCAATCAGAGGCTATATAGCATGACGTCATCCGATGCTCTGTTCCTCTTTTCTTCTCGCGTGCGGTTTGCTTTGTATGGCATCGGCTTTTTGGATCTTTTCACTAGGCTGGCCCGGTTTTACAATGTGAATGTAGCGTCCTCCCATCCTCTGGACCAGGTTCTTCTGGGCCTTCTCAGTGAGGTTTGTGCTCAGGATTCCTTGTGACATCGCTGGTATTCATCATTCAGTGCTTTCAGCACCGCCCTGTGGCGGTCAGTAGGGATGAAATAGAACGAAAGTTATGTATGTAATATACTGACTCCTCATTTCTCTCCAAATGATTTAGCATGCCCAGCTGCATCACTCACCTGTTCCTTGGCTCGGGACACCCAGGTCTGGATCAGCAGCTCCAGTCTGGACCTGTGATACTTCCTAGTCGTCTTCACTGCGATGAAAATGTCTTTCAGCTCAAGGTGGTCAATATTCCTAGGTCCTGATTCCACAGGTCTCTTGGGAGAGGGAGTGTCAGTTCTAGCAGCTGCTCCTATGACCTCTGAACTCCTACTGAGCCCTGTGGCCGTGTGGGTGCCGCCAGCGCTGGCGGTACCTGTTGGTAGGTGGGCATGGTGAGTCTGCTCTGCTGTGGCAGACTTAGCGTGGGGTCGGGGCTGAGGCGGCTCCAGCTGACGGGTGGGCGACTGGAGGGCCGGGATGAGCAGCAGCAGCAGGGAGCAGAGAGCAAGAGAGAACAGGAAGCAGGACTTACTGACGCCCACCGAGGCTATGTGCATCCTGGCTGGCCAGTGGGGCGGGGTCATCAGCCTCCAGGGCTGCAGTCGCTCCCAACACCGTCCTGGGCGGGCATCATTCCATCACATAGAAACCTGCAGGGGGCAGTCAGAACTTTCACTCAAAGCAACAATGATACTGTAATAATACAAAATGAGTCGAAGATTGCTTCGACTGAAATAACAATAATCACCACTGTCATTTATCATGATCGGTATTTGCAATTAAAAACACTTTGCATCCTGAATTGCTTGTTCTGAAAGCAGGAATGTTAGTTGCATTATTAGTTGAGCTCACGTTCATAAATAATTTTAGATATAACCGTATTTTTTTAAAGTATTATGTGTTCCAGACACATAGTGCCTTTTTTTAGCACAGTCAAGTAACTGTTACCTTCAGTTGTTATATCTTACCTTATCAATATTAAACTTGAATTTTTCCAGTGAGCGACATGAAAAGCTGTTTCTATCCTATTCTATTCATTTAAAAAATATTCCAAATTAGCATTCTTTGCTGCTCAACATTTGATATTGTGGTTTTGTAGTTAGCTTTTTATGAGCAGCATGTCATTTAACCTTTGTTCAATAAGCAATGACATTGGTATACTTTCTTTCTATATTGTAATAGATCAATCCCCAGAATTTAAAAACTATATAAGATGAAATCATGAATAACAGAGCATAAAGTATGTGTGTTGTCTGGCTTTGACTAGTAGGGTAACTCCTAACCCTGCTGTAGATGTGTAGTTCAGATACAAAATCTAGTTTGAAAATGAGTCCCATTCTGTGTGAAGGAGGCAGCGGGGGCCACGGAGAGGCAGCGGGGGCCACAGGGAGGCAGCGGGGGCCACGGGGAGGCAGCGGGGGCCACAGAGAGGCAGCGGGGGCCACAGAGAGGCAGCGGGGAGACAGCGGGGGCCACAGGGAGGCAACGGGGGCCACGGGGAGGCAGCGGGGGCCACAGAGAGGCAGCGGGGGCCACAGAGAGGCAGCGGGGGCCACAGAGAGGCAGCGGGGAGACAGCGGGGGCCACAGGGAGGCAGCGGGGGCCACGGGGAGGCAGCGGGGAGACAGCGGGGGCCACAGGGAGGCAGCGGGGGCCACAGGGAGGCAGCGGGGAGGCAGCGGGGGCCACGGGGAGGCAGCGGGGGCCACAAAGAGGCAGCGGGGAGGCAGCGGGGGCCACAGAGAGGCAGCGGGGGCCACAGAGAGGCAGCGGGGGCCACAGAGAGGCAGCGGGAGACAGCGGGGGCCACGGGGAGGCAGCGGGGGCCACAGAGAGGCAGCGGGGAGACAGCGGGGGCCACGGGGAGGCAGCGGGGGCCACAGAGAGGCAGCGGGGGCCACAGAGAGGCAGCGGGGAGACAGCGGGGGCCACGGGGAGGCAGCGGGGGCCACAGAGAGGCAGCGGGGGCCACAGAGAGGCAGCGGGGGCCACAGAGAGGCAGCGGGGGCCACAGAGAGGCAGCGGGGGTCACGGGGAGGCAGCGGGGGCCACAGAGAGGCAGCAGGGGCCACAGAGAGGCAGCGGGGGCCACGGGGAGGCAGCGGGGGCCACAGAGAGGCAGCGGGGGCCACGGGGAGGCAGCGGGGGCCACGGGGAGGCAGCGGGGGCCACGGGGAGGCAGCGGGGGCCACGGGGAGGCAGCGGGGGCCACGGGGAGGCATCACCCCACTGAAGCAGACTCCTTTAAAGGTTGTCCTAGGCATCATGGGGCAGATTTCTGTTAACTTTACCTGTTTAATGGTTTCAACAGATAAAGCTGACAGAAAACTATTTCAGAAGTTTGCCACCACACTGGAAACCCCTGAAGAAGTTACTGTTAAGTCAACATAGAGACCTTCTTCTTCTTGGCTCTATGAAATTAAAGGAAGTCATTTCCGGCTCTTTAAATGGCGCTTTGGAGCCGCGGCAGCGTGATTCCAAATAATCCCTGATCCCAACGAAGTAATGAATCCCAAGTTATCCTGGGTGATTTTCAGGTTCAATAGCAGGAAGAGTAGAACTCTGAACAGACTCTCACAAAGTGGAACAAAGAACAACATCTAGTAGCAACTCACCCTCATCAGGTCTTTCTGTTTGACACGATTCGGAAACAGAGAAGCAGCAGAAACGAACAACAACCCGAACAGCCCCTGAGTTCTAAACGGCACCAAACAAAGAACGGAACCGGAGCCAGTGTGTTCCTTCAGGTTCTGCAAACCGGGCCTCTGGACCCAGACACAGCCGTCTGTCTGAGGACAGGACAGCAACAGGGACAGAAGACGAGTTATTCTTCCGAACTCTCAGACACACATTCCTAAAACTCGAGCTGCATCCGATGAGGTAAAGCAAATCCGGTTCAAACTTTCAAAATAAAACAGCGATTCTGTTTGTCAACAAATAAAAGCAGACTTTTATAGACGGGGATTGCAGCTCCATATAAGAGTATGAGTCACCTGAAATCAGTTGAAACTACAATATTCTTGTTATTAGAGCCTACAACTCTATGTTGTATTTCTTCTGTTAATTTTTGAACAAAAAAAAAATCTGGTTATTATTGTGCAGCTTCTGTTTTATCATACACGTTGCCTTATTATTGATGATTGATAGAAATCACTGAGCTGCCTATAGACCTAAAAAGGTCTGTGCTCAGACCTTTGTAGAGCTCTGAAGCAGAGCAGACGATTACTCATTAAAACTTTGACCTCATGCATTCAATGTTTCTACCTCAAGTCACCACCAAGTTCTATTGATTGGCCACAAACAGGGCTATTTTCTGAAAGTACAGCAGGTTCAGTCTGTGTGGCTTAGGAAGCATTTAAAAAAAGATTTCATGCAGCATGTTATTTGGACACTCCATCTTTAATTAACCACAGAGTTCACACGGGTCAGACATGAACATCAGAAACCACAGCACATCACCAGCAACAGCTTGGTTCAGTTTTCTAGATGGAGCTAATCAGTCCCACATTTAAAGATAAACTCTGATTTTTACAACAAAATAGGAAACAATCCACAATCTTGATATGAATTACTGTAACAGGATGACTGTGAGGTGCAAAAGATATAAGATGTTTTTTGTTTATCCTTGTCAAATAATTGGAGATGATTTTTTATGACTGAAGGAAAGAACCAACCATGAAGGAAGAAAGGCAAAAAGAAGAGAAGACAAAGGAAAGGAGAGAATGAGGGCCACCAGAGAGGAAGAAAGGAGACAAATGAAAGAAGAAACAAAGGAAAGATGAAGGGACATAGGGCACAAGGAAGGAAAGAAAAAGGACAAGAGAGAGAAAGGACAAAACATGGGGAAGTAAGAGGATAAGGAAGAGATAGAGGGAAGGAGAGAGGAAGAAAGGACACAAGTGTGAATGAAAAAGGATAGAAGAGAGGAACAAGGCAGACTATATGAGAAAAAATGAAGAACAAAGCAGAATATCGAGGCAATGGGACAGCAAATAAATAAGTACTTTTCCATACACTGATTTGTTTTTCCATACATATCCAGGCCTGGAACATGCTGAAAAGAAATTCCCTACTTCTCCAGTCTGTGTGGAAACTCTGATGTCATTGGCTAATGACACATTTCGGATCACCTTTATTTTAAATGATGCATTTTCAGATTTTTTTGGTTTCAACTTTTAACTTGTCTTTATCATTTAACTTAACTTATAGTTCTGAAGTCAGAACTATAAGTGAGAACATTTGACTGAGTGTTAATCACTGACGGTAATAAACAGTCTGTGAATACTCATCCATCCATCATACTGGACATGAGCTGAGATGCTGAGGTGGTTTTAAAACTCAAACATTACTCAGGCTCCTTTCTAGAGCCCTTTCTGTGACCTCTGAACTGGGAAAACAAAATAAGGCTGAGTCATTCAGACCTTCTCTCAACACAAACATGACTCACCATGAAAGATAAAAGCAAAATGAAGGAAGGTTGACATTTTACAACAAAGGATGACAGAAACAACAACTCATTATTTCCACGTGAAGGCAGCACGCTGGAAATGTCTTCAGAAGGACTGTCCCATCTCATGCATAACACTGATTCATAGATGCCACTAGAGGGAGACAGAGAGCCACAGTAGGTCTTGTGCACACAAACACATTGTCAAAGCAGAGTGGGCTGGCTGGGGACTGGGACTGCACTGTGGACGGGCCTGGACCGGGTCAGTCATCGAAGCGCCCCTCCAGGATGCTCTCAAATGAGAAGGGGACAAACTTGAAGCCCTGACCTGTGTAGAACTTGTTCTGGAACTCCACCCTGAGGGGAAAACACCAGGCAGGAAACAGATTTGTTCAACAAGTTAAATCAAACATAATTAATATAAAGTTGTGGTCAAATGTGAAAAAGAGCATACATTAGTGGTAAAGCATTTAGAACGTTTAGCGGAGTGAAGACCTGATTGTATGGTTTAAGCACATCTAGAGTCTTGTTTACTAAGTGGTTAGCATTTCAGGGGGCCCTCCATTTCCATTTCAAGCTTTTTTTGTTAATAAAAAAAATGATAATTGTTTTATTTAAATAGAACATGGTGTGTCTTCCCAATGGTCAATGTGTCTGAGTTGTCACATAAACCTCAAGACATAAATCTGCATCCTACTCCCAGATGAGGACAGGTCTGGATGACTTCATTTCAAGAGGGAAAAGTTAAACTGTGTTCCAGCAGGAGCTGCATCTTGGCCTCGGTGGGCAAAGGGAGTGCCCAGGAATGTCTCCCAGTTGTGGCAAATATTTGGCCAGCCAGAGCGCTCAGAGGGCAACATTTAAAGAGAGCACAGAAATAAGAGATCCCTCTATCTGCTGCTCTCCACAGCTGGGAGGTGGAAAACTGACTCTGCTGGGTGTGTATTTGTGTGTGTCTCTGTGTAGGAGAGAGTTCCTCAGCAGTGAGTGTGAAAGGCAGACTGGTCACTGACTGCAGCTTCGCTTCAACATATTTCCATTCAATCATCTTTGTGACAACAGCTTTAAGGATGAAAGAACTGCTGCAACAGACTGTGGGCTTTCAGTTACAATGAAATAAACGATTCAATATTAAACTATTATCATTTTGATATAAAAAAGCAAATAATTTCACCAAAATTATAATAAAACAGAGTGACTTCCAGCAGTTTATAGTCCTTTTGGTGTCATGCTGATTGTTTGAAGTGCTACACGAGAGCCACGTTGACCCAAACACGTTCACCATAGCCCTTTCTCCTCCAGTGCTGAATATGAATATGTATCTGTATGTATCTTTTACTATTCCAAAGAAGCATTTACTCCACAAGTTTCCACTGTTGTTATGGCCCAGCTGGACTCACAGTGCTGTAATGATCCTCCCTATCATTCATCCGCCCTCTCTGGTACCAGGTGGATCAGTGGTGTACTGGTGGTACCAGGAGAAGATGGAGCTCCTGGCCTGTCCTGGATTCCTGTTATAAACTAACTCTGTAGTATGTCATCATTAACATTCCTCATGTGAATGTAAGGCGGAGAAACTGGCAGAGGTTAACTCAGAAAAGATACTTCAATCAAACTTTATTCATAAAACACTTTTTATGCAGTCATCTCAAAGTGCTTTAGAGATGAACGAATGATTGATCAGAACTGATGTGTGTTTGAATGTTGTGTATGATATGAACACTCCTGACACACAGCTATTGCTGCTCCAGAAGCAGCATGTCTCTTCAGTATGTGTGAAACATTTATCCCTGAGTGTTTTCCTCTGTGCTTGTGTGTACTGACCAGTGCAGGCGCAGGGCATGCAGGAAAGCTGACAGGCCCTCCATGATGAGCAGGATGCAAACAGTGAGAGTGGCGAAAGCAGAGAAGATGATTGACAGGCTAAAGAAGCCGCCTCCACTGCGAGAGGACAGACCCAGATGCATCACCATAGACCACAGCACCTCAGACAGCTCTGCAGACACAACACAGTCATGTTAGCACATGGAACCTCTGACTGCTCGAAGTGAGTGAGTTTTGTTCTGTTACAGCCCAGCTGTTCGATCACAGGGAGTCACTCACGTGCGTGAGCGAGGCTGAGGGCCCAGAGGCGCAGATATGAGGCCGTGTTGGAGATGCAACCCAGACAGTACTCTATGGTGTGGATGGCCTGATGGACGGCCACATCACCAAAGTTAAACTGTACAGGAGGAAGCAGAACGTCACCTCGCACATAGCATCTCAGAAAAGGTTGTCACTTCTTCATGCTCATACTGACAGCTTTATCTTAAACTATTTCTATGTTGAGTAAAAGACCATATTTTTGCAACAATGAAAATACTGTCTGAAAAATAAACAGAATTCGTCCTCCTCTCCACAGGCTGACAAAGTGAAACAAGAACAATGGCTTTCTGGAAAGTACATTTCATACTTCACAAGAGGTTGCATGCAGAGGTTTCTCCCACTGCAGCACCCTGACTTCATATTTCTCTGACAGTATGCAAGAAAAAGAAAATCCTGCAAGAACTCCAAAATCAGGGTTGCAGTTCTTAAGTTCTTGCATCACTGGGAGAGAGAACATTCCTCTGTTCAGGTGGAGAATGTGGAGGCCTTAAGAAGTAATCCAACATTTATATAAGAAAAGTAGGACTGTATACTGTATTAAAATTTATATATTTTTAAGTTATTGGTTTTCTAAAAAGTAGCTATAATTTCATTAGAGTGGAGATTTAGATGTAATGAAGCTGAAAGCAGAATGAAGCAGTTTGTTTGGTTTCTTCCTATAACTTTCCTCAGCAGGATCACCACTATTGTATCCTGACGGGTCAAAACATTCCCTGTGTTCTTTCCATCCCGACCAGGACTATCCTTTCCTGTTTCAAAGCAGCAGGAAGGGGGAAACACTGGAGGCCATTGGTCTACTTAACATTGTTGACTCGGGCTTGGAACCTGCTTGGTTTCCTCTTTACAAATTTTTCTTTTGTTCTTTGACTTTTAAAAACAGAGTTCACAGAGCCAGTTCTGGAGGAGGAATAGCAAAACAGTAATAATAATGACCAAAACAAAGTGGTGTGATTTATTTACAGAGTAGTGGGATAACGTCAGAATAGATTTATTAGTTTCAGCTCTTTCTCTTTATTGTTTTAAAGACGGGGAGTACAAAAAAATCCAGAGTGAACTCTGAATCCAGACTTGTTTGTGTTTGCCCAGTTTTTATAGATCAGTAAACCTAGAGTTGCATGCTCAAACATAGACATTCATAATTATCAACACATGCGTGCCTGGCACAGAGAATCGCCGTCGTAAGGAAAAGGCCACATATGAGCTAATAATGCACGTTCAGAAAACAGACTGGAATTTGGAAGTAGTAAATCAAACTGGGCGAGGCAGCTTT